CTGGGTGCGTGCCTGAGTTGTGCCGTGCTTATCCTCTTGCTTATGCTCGTTTTGTAGCCCTGGATACACATCAGCGGATACGCTTGATAAACTGGATTCGCAAGGAGGCAAGTAATAACCGCATCCGGGTCCACTTTGCGGCTGATAATTCAGTTTAGACCCCATCCCCCGCGAATGTCAAGGTATTAACAGGCAAGGAGGACTTCCTGCGTGAAGACAAATATCTAATACCAGTGATCGAAGATGACCCTCTATTGCGTGAGCCCGGCGTTTTCATAGCTGTAAACATGCGGAGTACTGATATACAAACAGAATTGCAGCTGGACGACTGGTCGGATGATGAGGAGATCGTAAATGACCAGCAAGCACCTTCTGACCTCTCGCAGGCAATGCGTAAGATTCGCGCGCTCGAAAATGCTCTACACAAATCCCAACAAGACTTGGCCGACTATCGCTCGTTTGTCGGTGACCGCTTAAACCTGGCGGGCCTCGCAGAAGCTCTTCAGGAGTCAACTGCGTCGCCATCGACAGAAGCTCAGCCAGCTCGTGATGATGACTCGCATTACTTCCAGAGTTATGACGAGAACGGTAAGTCCAGGCCTGTTCCTCATAGAACATATGAATCAATCTCTGTGTAGATATCCACGCCGTCATGATCAAGGATAAGGTCCGGACAGCAACCTACGCTTCCTTCATCCTTAGGACGCCAGATCTCTTCCGCGACGCGGTTGTCCTTGACATCGGCTGTGGGACTGGTATTCTGTCACTCCTCGCCGCACGCGCAGGTGCGAAGCGTGTTTTCGCTGTCGATGCAAGTGACATTGCCGAGAGGGCAGAGCAAATTGTGAAAGCTAACGGCTTGGGCCATGTCATTACGTTAGTGCACTTTATTACGATCCAATGTTTCGTGCTTAGTTACGCCGTACAGCGTCATCCGCGGCAAGGTCGAGAACATCCAGCTTCCAGATAATGTGCAGCAGGTCGACATCATTGTTTCTGAGTGGATGGGCT